ACCTAACCATTGTAGGCATTCTTTTTAAAAAAAACAAACTAAAAAATTCAAAGGTTTTACTATAAAATGGCAAGACTCCTACCATATCCATAACTTCCTCAACCCTCTTCTTTTTACTTATGATAGTGGTCTGCCTACATTTCATTGTTTCTTTTATATTAAATCAATCCAATTTGTAATGGTTGTTATTGCTTGCAGAACGGCCTGCAGCGAAAAGTCAAAAGGATATTATGAATTAAAATGAGCTTACTAAAGTAAGCTAAAAGATGGGAAATCAAAATTATTTGTTTTTATAACGTAATACAGAGGAGAGTATGTATATTGTTCAAATTAAAATAATAAATTTGTTCAGGAACTTGTAAGTTTTGAACTGTGTTATTTGATTACTGATTCATTATGGACTAGAGGCAATGAGGTGTCCCTCCTCTGCTGATGGCGGGAGGATTTGCCGGGCGTCAGAGGAGCCTAGCATCGGAGAACATAGTCAGATGTTCTAAAGCTGGGTTGTGAAGCAGTGGCCACCTGATCATCTGAGCCACAAAAGTCTACAGCCTCATCCTTAGCACAAGCCTCCCCCATCGGGGGCTCACATCCTCCTCTGCCCTACAGGCCAACCTGGCGACCAACTGATCTTTCAGCTTTAAATGCCCACCCCCTACATCCAGACAGGGCTTTTAGGTAATAGGTCGGGATCCCTGGGTCCTCCTCGAAAGATTAGACTCACTCACCTTCCCTCACTGTTTCCAGGCTCAATTTTGGCAATGCCTAGGCTGGGCGTAGTTGTTTCGGCAGACAGTGGGATCCTTATGGGTCATGTCATGTCATTGTTAGCTGCCTTGAGTCCCTTTCGAGCTTCACAGGAAGAAAAGAGGGTGGGTGGGAGGGAGAGAGAGAGAGAAACAGGAGGATGGGCAGGCCTCGGCTGCCTTTTGTCCGTGAAGGAGACTGGCAGAGGAGCACTTTTGCTGAAGTCTGCCTGACATTGTGTCCTACGATACAGACTGGGCAGACCTTTAAGGTGTGTTATCTGCTTCAGCATATAACAAGGCAGTAGGGTTGCAAGCTTTGAGCTTTGCTTTTTGGCTTAGCTTAATGGCTTGTTTTGAGCTGAAGAAACCTTTGGCTGTTGCTGGGAGTGGTTACGCAGCATCCTGAAGCTGAAGATTGAAGCAGTTTGGAATGCCAGAGAAACTTCTTGTTTATGGCAAGACAAGGACATTCTACTGATTACTAAGTAGAGAGACCGCATTATTTTGCTATAGGATTGCATATCGTCGTGTAAAGAAGAAGATTCACCAGAGATATTGTTTGTGGTATATTGGTGAGAACGATTCTTCTGTTTTGCTTTGTGTTTTTGATCTACAGTGAATAGAACTATATCTTTGTTTCTACTTAAAGCAACATATTCGTGTATTTTTTGAGTTTTTATCACACTGAGAGTAAAAGGGGCTGAGACATTCTGCGGGCCACTACCACTACTCTGTCAGTAGCCCCTCCCACTGGCTATATACTATGGGGAGAGTGGAAGCAATATCTATTCCTTTAAACCAGGGGTCCTCAAACCAAGGCCCGGGGGCCGGATGCAGCCCTCCAAGGCCATTTACCTGGCCCTCACTCAGGGTCAACCTAAGTCTGAAAGCACACAACAACAACAACAACAACAACAACTTGTATAATGGCTTGTATAACGGAGACCTGGTTGGACGAGGGGGGAGGGGTCAATCTCTCCCAACTCTGTCCACCAGGTTATTCCGTTCAGCACCAACCAAGGCTTGGAGGGCGGGGAGGCGGAGTCGCAGTGGTCTATAAGGACTTTATTCCACTGATCAGGTGTCCCATCCCACAATCATCTTCCTTTGAATGTGCCGGCTTTAGGATAGGTGACCGGGACAGGATAGGGATTCTGTTAGTGTACCGACCACCCCGCTGCACTACAGTCTCCCTACCTGAGCTAGCGGGAGTGGTCTCGGACATGGCGTTGAGCTTTCAACGGCTTTTGGTCTTGGGAGATTTCAACGTCCATGCCGAGGCCCCTCTTTCCGGCGCAGCTCAAGACTTCATGGCCGCCATGGCAACCATGGGCCTGTCCCAACTAATATCGGGTCCCACCCATAGTGCCGGGCACACTTTAGATTTGGTTTTTGTTCAGGGATGGGATGAGGGTGACGGGATGGAGGAGCCGACCATCACTCCGTTGCCATGGACCGATCACCACCTGATCAGATTTAGACTAACTGGGCCTCCTAACCTCCGCAGGGGTGGTGGACCCATTAGAATGGTCCGCCCCAGGAGACTTATGGATCCAAATGGACTCCTGACGGCTCTTGGGGATCTTTCCACCTCCTTGGCTAGTGATACTGTCGATGCTCTGGTCTCTCGTTGGAATAATGAGTTGACCAGGCAATTGACACTATCGCTCCGGAACGCCCCCTCTCGAGTAACCGAGCTAAACCAGCCTCTTGGTTCACCGAGGAGCTGGCAGCGATGAAGCGAAAGAAGAGGAGGTTAGAGTGCGTGTGGCGCCAGAATCCCACCAATCCAGCCCAAACACACCTGAATGCCTTTCTAAGGTCCTACGGTGTGGCAATAACGGCAGCTCAGAAAACATTCATCACAGCCAATATTGCATCAGCGAAGAATCGTCCAGCTGAGCTTTTCCGAGTTGTCAGGGGCCTGTTAAATCCGCCAAAAAGCGAGGTCTCGGACAACTCGGTGGCTCGCTGTGAAGCATTTGCTCGATCTTTCGCGGATAAAATTGAGCGGATCCGGTCAGGCTTTGACGTCATGTTAACGGCAGTCTCTGGGGATGTAACGAGAGCATCTGCTTGTCCAGTTTTGTTGGATTCTTTTCAATTGGTTCAGCTTGAGGATGTGGACAGGATCCTTGGAGAGGTGCGACCCACCACATGCATCCTAGACCCCTGCCCATCCTGGCTGATCAAGGAAGCCAGAGGGGGTTTGGCGGAGTGGGTGAAGGTGATGGTTAATGCCTCCTTACAGGAAGGAAAATTTCCAGCGAGCTTAAAACAAGCTATTATAAAACCGCTGTTGAAGAAACCATCACTGGATCCCACTCAATTCGACAACTATCGGCCAGTTTCCAATCTCCCCTACTTGGGCAAAGTCATGGAACGTGTGGTGGCAACACAACTCCAGGGGTTTCTGGTAGACACTGATTATCTTGATCCGGCACAGTCTGGCTTTAGGCCGGGACATGGAACTGAGACAGCCTTGGTCGCCTTGGTAGATGATCTGCGCAGGGAACTAGACAGGGGGAGTGTGTCCCTGTTGGTTCTGCTGGACCTCTCAGCGGCCTTCGATACCGTCGATCACGGTATCCTTCTGGGTCGCCTCATGGATATGGGGCTCGGGGGCACTGCTTTGCGGTGGCTCCGATCCTTCCTTGAGGGACGGACCCAGAAGGTGTTATTGGGTGACACCTGTTCGGCCCCACAACCGTTGTTGTGTGGAGTCCCACAGGGTTCAATTCTGTCCCCGATGTTATTTAACATCTACATGAAACCGTTGGGAGAGATCATTCGGAGTTTCGGAACGAGATGTTATCTCTATGCAGATGATGTCCAAATCTGTCACTCCTTTCCACCTGTCACCAAGGAGGCTGTTTAGACCTTGAACCGGTGTTTAGCTGCTGTATCGGACTGGATGAGAGCTAACAAATTGAAATTGAATCCAGACAAGACAGAGGTCCTACTGGTCAGTCGTAAGGCCGAACAGGGTATAGGGTTACAGCCTGTGTTAGATGGGGTTACACTCCCCCTGAAGACGCAGGTTCGCAGCTTGGGAGTGATCCTGGACTCATCGCTGAGCCTGTAACCCCAGGTCTCAGCGGTGGCCGGGAGAGCTTTCGCACAATTAAAACTTGTGCGCCAGCTGCGCCCGTACCTTGAGAAGCCAGATCTGGCCACGGTGGTCCACGCTCTTGTCACATCCCGGCTGGATTACTGCAACGCACTCTACGTGGGGTTGCCTTTGAAGACTGCTCGGAAACTACAACTAGTCCAGCGAGAAGCAGCCAGATTGCTCACCGGAGCGACGTACAGGGAGCATACAACCCCCCTGTTGCGTCAGCTCCACTGGCTGCCGATCCAATTCCGAGCACAATTCAAAGTGCTGGTTTTGACCTACAAAACCCTATACGGTTCCGGCCCAGTGTATTTGTCTGAACGGATCTCCCTCTACGTCCCATCTCGAAGCTTAAGATCTTCTGGGGAGGCCCTGCTTCATTCTATGATAGAGATGCCAGTTTTTGCTGTTTCTATTTTGCTCCCCATTTGTGTTTCTCTGTGAGGATCATGACATTGAGATCATTGAGACATTGAGATCATCCCATCTCGAAGCTTAAGATCTTCTGGGGAGGCCCTGCTCTCGACCCCGCCACTGTCACAAGTGAGGCTGGCGGGGACGAGGAGCAGGGCCTTCTCAGTGGTGGCCCCCCACCTGTGGAACTCACTCCCCGGGGAGATCAGATCGGCATCTTCCCTCTTGGTGTTTAGGAAAAGACTGAAGACCTGGATCTGGGATCAAGCCTTTGGTCATTCTGAAAGCTAACTGAAGGATCTGATGATAGACAAGGACAAATGGAATGGAATGGATATATGGACTCTGAACCCTGAGCATGAGATTGTTTTATGATTTTATTATGTATTGATGTTTTTAATTAATTGTTGTAATTGCTGTATTTGTATTGCTGTGAATTGTCTTGGGCATCTAATTGTGCCCCCACTGTAAGCCGCCCTGAGTCCCCCCCGGGGTGAGAAGGGCGAGGTATAAGTAAATGAAATAAATAAATAAATAAATAAATCCCATCTCATCAGCCGAAAGCAGGCCCACACTTCCCATTGAAATACTAATAAGTTTAATTGTATTAATTTAAAGTGGTTTTTTGCACTACAAATAAGATATGTGCAGTGTGTATAGGAATTCATTCATATATTTTTTTTCAAATTATAATCCGGCCCTCCAACAGTTTGAGAGACTGTGACCTGGCCCTCTCTTTAAAAAGTTTGAGAACCCCTGCTTTAAACAGTTGCAGGTGGCTGACATTATATCAAATGGAATGAAAGCTGTGTCAACTTTTTCATATTTTTATTTCCTAATACTTTATTTCAGTGCTACTGAAATTGAGAGTGTGTGTTACTCCACTGCAATTATTCTTCTGCGATTCAGAGTGATGATGGGTGTTTGCTCATTCTTATTTGTCTAGCTCATCTGAGAATGCACAATTTCCTGGAGTTTCTGTGGTATTTGAGATAACGGAGAAAGATCATGACGTCGTTCAGAAAACTGGAAACCTAAAGATGAGAAATTGAATGTTTAAAAATAACCTTTAAAATTATTTTTAAACAGTTTACAATGAAGGCTTGCATTCAAAATTCTACATTGATAACTTATTCTGTTCATGCTAGTAAGAATTATTATATATGGCATGCCTATCCAACTTGGACTATAGACATGATGTGCTTTACAAGACAATTTGAGTCCTACAGCCTGTATAATTGTATATGATGGCAATGCTTTGGGTTGCTTAATGTCTCTGTGACATCTACTTTTGGAGTTATGCATGGCCCTGGAAACCCATGACAGCCATTTTTACAATAATAATTAGATTGAAGAGCAAACAGTAGAGTATGTAAATGGCATGAGTAGGCCAAAGCAGATGCCAAGTTTGATAGAGCAGTGTTTTCATCTTGCCATGACATAACCTCCTCCTCTGGTGAATAGCCAGTTAGTCTCTTATGTGTGAGTCGCAGAACCCACAAGAACAGGATGGCTATCTGTCACTGAATAGTCATCTGCCAGTTCAGACAATCCATGCTCTTGCCTATCATCTTCCTGAATTTCCCACTTTGGTTAGAAGGACAATATATACTTGCACTGGAAAGAGGCAAGATTCTCGTCACAAAAGACTGAAATGTGCACTCCAGTGGTAAAGGAAATCTATATTTGTGAGAGCACTGATGACAACATTTGCAAGCATCTAGTTTAGGATCTGGGCAGGAGCCCTTGTGCTACTTTTGTGTGTTGAATTCACAGGCTGCCTCCTTCCTGTTGCATTTTTTACTCAGGGTCATTGTAACCCTATCTTAACAACTACATAAAGAAAATACATAAAGTAAGATTGTTTACCTCGATATGCTTCAGAAATCTTGCTTGTTCCAATATCCCTCCATTCTTTAATATATCTAAACACAATAATGTAGAAGTACATTTAATAAGATCGATAAGCAGAAATACATATTTATATTCATTTTCATCTGGATGGCCCATCTTTCTCCCCAAGTTTAGATGCAAGGTGACTTATGTCACAGGGCCACAGGGAGGAGCCACAGGGAGGAGGGAGCAAGCTTGTTTTCTGCTTCCCTGGAGACTAGGATGTGAAACAATGGCTTCAAACTACAAGAGGAGATTCCATCTGAACATGAGGAAGAACTTCCTGACTGTGAGAGCCATTCAGCAGTGGAACTCTCTGCCCCGGAGTGTGGTGGAGGCTCCTTCTTTGGAAGCTTTTCAATAGAGGCTGGATGGGCAACTGTCAGGGGTGATTTGAATGCAATATTCCTGCTTCTTGGCAGGGGGTTGGACTGGATGGCCCATGAGGTATCTTCCAACTCTATGATTCTATGATTCTATGATATTACAAAATATGATAAAACACAATGAACTAAGACGACACAGTTGTAGTTTTTATTGTTGTGTGCCTTCAAGTCATTTCTTACTTAGGACAGCCTTAAGGCAAACCCAACATAGGGCTTTCTTGGCAAGATTTTCAGAAGGGGTTTGTCTTTGCTTCCCCGAAAGGCTGAGAGTGTGACTTGCCCAAGGCCACCCTAGTGAATTTCATGTGGCTAAACAGTTATTTGATCCTGGTCTCCACAGCCGTTGCTCAATCCTCAAACCACTACACCATGTTTCATAAATAAACTTTAATTTAAAATAGGCATGGAAACATTTAAAAAAAATTCTTAATAAAAAATAAATTCCAGCACTTCTATTTAGGCCCAGTTATTTATTAAAGGGCTGCCTAAATAAAGTCTTCACCTATCAACAAGGACAATAGTCTTAATTCAGAGCTTTCCAAACATTTCATGTTGGTGAAAGATTTTAGACATGCATCGTTTCGCAACACGTTAATTCAATTTTGCCAGCAACCTGGAAGTTAAACCAATCCCCTATAAGAGATATGTACACAAACACATAAACTGTAATAATGAAATGTATCAAGACACAACATATTTCATGAAAACCTTTCATTTATATATATTAAAATATATGATTTGTTACTTATTTCACATAGAATCAGAGGTTTCTTGTTACATTCATATGATACGCCTACACCCTGCAGCTGACACAATAATGTCATGACATAGTTTGGAAAGCTCTGTCTAATATTTTATTTTTGCAGAATGGCTTCTTAGAAGAATAAATAACCTGATAAGTGGGCAGCAATTTTCTCATAAACACAAAATAAGTTTGTAAACTGCTTTAACTTTTTCAAGTAATGAAGATTTATAAGAATAGTAAAAGGACAATTGTAAATATTACTTTTCATAGTTGAGTGCGTTTGTCCATTTTAGCACTTCATCCACTTCCCATTCCATCACTTTATCCATTCCTTTGTCTAGGCTGCCAATCAACCCTTCTGTAGCTCTTTGAATTAAGACGGTTGTAAGTGGGTCCAGAGTATTGACTTGAAGGTTTTGTCCAAAGTACCTGGGATATAGTGAAACATACAACTTCACTCTTAACTGCTCCTGTGTTTTCAAGGTGGCTGTACAGTCCTAGCTCCCTTGAAACACATTTTAGACACACATACATATATATACATAGACATTATATGATTTTAAAAGCCTGTAGCCAAATGGTGTTGTGAAATCTAGTATAACTTAACATTTTGTTACATGCCCTGTATTCATTAATCAATTGCTCAACAGTTGCACAGAATTTAAACCGATTCCACAAAAAAGTATATGTTCTCATATCCTTTTATTTAAGACTAGCTATACCCGCCATGCATTGCTGTGGCCAACTTTCCCTCCCTCTTTCTCCTTCCTTTCTCTCCATCCTTCCTTCCCTCCCTCTTTCCTTCCTTCCCTCCCTTTTTTCTTTCCTTCTCTCCTTCCTTCCTTCTTTCCTTCCTTCCTTCTCTACCTCTTTCCTTCCTTCCCCATCCTTTTTCTTTCTCTCCTTTCGTCTTCTCTACCTATTCTTGGACTGTGACTCCCAGCAGTCCTCTTGATTGATCTATCTACCTACTATCTATCTCTGTCTAATCTATATATCTTATCTATCTGGAGGATTGCTGGGAGTTGCAGTCCAGGAATAGGAAATATGTATGGATTGGGAAGCTCTCAAAGAAATCCAAGGAGCATCCTCCTCCCCTACAGGTCAAGGGGATGCTGGGAGCTGTCGCTTTTGTGCATGTATTGGATTGTCATTTAGCTTTGGGGGTTTTTTAAGTCCTTTCTGCTGTTTTTTGGGAGGAGTTTATAAGTGATGGTGACGTGTTGATCTGTTAGGGGTGTAGTGTCCAAATTTTGTGCCAATTTGTCCAGTGGATTTTGAGTTATGTTAATCCCACAAAGAAACATTACATTTTTATTCATATAGATTTAATTCTAAGCAAGCCTTTCAGGTTTACATATAACTTGGGAGTCATTTGTGTCAAAAGCTTGCTAATCATGTACAACTATTTATTAGATGCTTGACAACATTGCCACACCTGTTCTCCATTCCAAGCAAATAACAAAAATATAAAGTTTGTATTTTTGACCTTAATATTTGGCTGGTGAAAATGAACACAGAAAAAATGCTAAAAAATAACCACAAAGACTATTATGGCACCTTAAAAAGTAACAAAATTGATATCAAGTTTTTTTTAGGAATGTAGCATATAGCGTGTCTGCAGTTCCTCAAAGTTTAGGCCAACATTTTTCAATGTGTCACAAGAGTGTTGCTTTTACTACAGCAGGATTACATGCCAGTAGTTCCTCTGCTTTCCCCCAGAAATCCTGACATAACTTCTTAACTTGTGGTTTATAACAAGCTATTTCTACCTGGATAGTGGATGCAGTGTATAAAGAATGATTGGAGATGTTGATAATGATAGATTATTACTACTTCAGCATAATCCAAAAACCTTTAATTAATAAGCACACAAAAGATAAAGTTAAAATAGTCTACTGCCAATGTCTAGAATTTAAAATACTAACGCACATTTTCTTCAGCCATTCTATTTTCCTCCTTTTTCTCCTTTTTTCTATTTCTTGTTTCCTCATCATTCTGGAGTACTGGAATTCCTTCGTTTTGATATTGTCATCATTAGTTATAGGGTCGACGATCTTCCATAACTGAAATATATATATTTTCAGTTCATCACAAACAATTTCACATTTCCTCTAAACCTTTTGTCTCTTTGTCAATGCCAGTGAGCCCATATACATTTGCTATACAGACTTAGTTGCATGGAGTAATGATGGTTTTAGGACAGTGGGAAATGCGTGGTCAGACAGCTGCAAAGATGGGCTTCTCTTCCAGTGTCAGATGGCAATGCAATCCTATGCTTCATCAGTAGTACTATAGGGAAGACCTACTCTATCTTATTTTAGTCGGAACTCATCTGGAATAGCCCTGGATCCAGTTCTGGGCACCACAATTCAAGAAGGATATTGACGGGCTGGAAAGTGTCCAGCTGGGTAACCAGGATGGTCAAAGTTCTGGAAGCCGAGCCCTAAGAGTAGTGGTTTAGGAAGTTGGGTTAAAGAAAAAATAGGCAGAAAGGAGATGTAGTAGCCATATTTAAATATTTGAAAGGATGTGACATCGAGGAGGGGGCAAGCTAGATGTCTGCTGTTCTGGAAGCTAGGATATTGAGCAGTGGATTCAAATTACAGGAAAAGAGATTCCTTGTAAACATTAGAAGGAACTTCCTGTTGGTAAGAACTAGTTGGCAGTGGAATATGCTGCTTTTGGAGTGTGATGGGGTCTCCTTTGCAGGTTCTAAAGCAGAACCTGGATAGGCATCTGTTGGGAGGGACTGAGTGTATGTTCCTACATGGCAGGAGGTTTTCCCTAGATGGAAAAAGAGCAGCTCACAGAGCCCGGTCAGCCACCTCAGGCCATTTTTGTAGTTCTATCCCCACCCCCACCCACTCCCAGCCCTTTTTTTCAAAAAGAAGATATAACCCCCAAATGCCTTGGGGACATGGAGGTAATTATGCCATGGTCTCTTGTGCCATTTTAGGTCCATGAAGGGCCTTTTAAAGCAGGTATTGGCCCAGAAATTGTCTTCCAAGTCCCTTCTGGAAAAAGTTCTTCCATGGACCCTCAATGATACAAAGAGATCCAAAAGCACAGTGAAATTGCCTATAAGTCACTAAGGGGCATGGAGTGTGTGTGTGTGATTTGGGGGGGGGGGGTTCAAAAACAATGCAGGGATGCCATTGTGGTCTCCTAACTTCCAACAGTTGTCCACCTTTGCTTTAGGGGATGGGATTACACTGCCACAGAACTGCCACAGGCATCACCAGTAATAACAATATATTAATAAAAATGATTATGAAAATGTTTTAAAGGTCATTTTTTTACATAGAAATTCAGCAAATTTCAAATTCAGCAAAATTTTAACACATCACAATGTCATCCAGACAAGTTATTTTTTGTATAATTGGTAATAGTGATAGAAGAAAAGAGCAAATTAAAATGATTTCATAATCTCACCCTGATGGAAAGAAGTCTCCATCCATTATTCTCAATACGTTTGTACCAGTCGCTGTGATCCTGGCCCTTTTTCCCCTGGCGCTTTCTTGCTTCTCTGGTTTTGAGTGCAAGTTTTGCATAGTCTTTAGGACTATAGGCACACAGATCTACAATAGGTCTATGCGTGAATATTTTGTAATATATACTTGGAGGAAACTTTAGCTGCAAAGAATTTTTTTTAAAAAAATGAGAAAATTAAAATATTTGCAGATTATTGAGTTTTTAAAGTACTCAAAACATTGACTGGATAGCTCTAGTGACTGACATGAACTATAAAATGAAGTTCAAAATAAAGACATAATTTGGATTTTTTTAAAAAAAACATTTCCAGAGAAGTCTTTTTTTTTTTCATTTTACAGGCAACAGAAACCGAGACTAGCTTAAAATAACTCCCCAAATTGCCGATTCAGATAATCCCTGAAAACAGCAAGTAGATGTCCTCTGTACCTCTTTAGCTGTTAGAACTGTCTTTTTCTTGAAGTGCTATATGGCAAATCCCATCAGCCCTAACTAGTATAACCATGGGTAAACTATCATGGGAGCTGCAGGATTTGAACCATTGACCTTTTGGTCAGCAATTTCAAATATATAATACTGATTGTTGGAAAAGTCTATTGAACTGAAGTGAAAGCACAGCTGGTTCTAGACATTCCTTCTATCTTTGTTATAAAATTGCTTGTGGCTGATTTCCGTTCAGTAGGTGTTAGTTTACAAGCTACATACAATCAAAACTAATATCCATAATAAACAATAGACTTCAAAATACATTGTGATTTTTTTTCAAGCCATATATTACACTTGATCTTTTAATAATTGTTAAAAATTATACTCACCCCACCTAGTCTGAATCGGATATGAATCCCTGCTGCAGCATCTAAGTATTCCGCCTATAATCAAGGGTAAAGTATAATGTCTTTTGTCAATAGGTTCCAAGGAAACAGACCTGCCATATCCCTCTTTAAGCTGCAGGCTGCTGCTTAGCTTTCTATCCCCATTAAATTATGATTATTGCTTTGAAACTATTAAAAATGTTTTTGCCAGCTTAAATCTAACCATTGTTAGGGTTAGATTAAACTGGCATAAAGTAACTTCTTCACAAACATCTCAGTACTGTGGCTAGTAATAAAGGGCAAAAGAAAGAAAGATACACAAGTAAGCAAGAAAACCGAGACTTGGCTATGGTTACCCAGTGGGAAACCTTAGCCAAGATCTGGACCCTATTATTGTTGTTGTTGTTGTTGTTGTTATTTGAAACACAACAAGATTATGTCAGTGTGTATTTCATGTATGATGTATGATGTATGTTTAAATGTAATTTTATTAGAAGAATAGTGATTGTAATAGATTTGTATGGCCAAAATGTATGTTTACACAGAAGAGTTAAACAGCAAATGAATCAAGCTGTGAGTATGTGACCCTGAGTTTCTTGCTGTGAGAAGAATTAGGGAGTGTCAGGGATAACTCCTTTCCAGCTACAGTATGTCTTTAGTGTCTATGTCTTTCGCTTTGTGTTCTTCATGTCTGATCGCTGATGGTGTGTGTTGGATTTATGAACTGATCAAGTAAAGCTGAAACCTGGTTTTTATCGGTGACTCCAGAGTTCATTATTCTTAGCTTCTGCGATCCTTCTGTTAACGCTAACAGATTAGAACACAGCAAACAAGATCACTGTACTGGTTGTTGTATTGGATTACATGTTGGACACTTCCCAAGTGTCTAGGGTTGTGTGTGACATATCGGCGAATAATGCGTGCAGATCCCAGTAAGTTGGCCTTTCGCAGCTGGCAGATGATAATTTTGTCAGTGCTGATTGTGTTTAAGTGCAGACCAAGGTCTTTATTATTATTATTATTATTATTATTATTATTATTATTATTATTTTAACTGACACAAAAACACAGTATGACACAGCAAATGAGATATATATGCTGGATTTCTTATCACAAAATCACAAGTCAAACACTTCCCAAATGTTTAGGACTGTGTGATATATTTTCAAATGATGCGCACAGATCCAAGTAAAGTGGCCCTTTGCAGCTGACAGATTGTGATTTTGTCAATGTTTATTGTTTCCAAATGCTGGGTGAGATCTTTTGGCACAGTACCAAGTGTGCCAATTACCACTTGGACCACCTGTACTGGTTTATGCCAGAGCCTTTGCAGTTCAATTTGAGGTCTTGATAACGGCTGAGTTTTTCATGTTGTTTTTCGTCAATGCGACTGTCACTTGGTATGGCGACATCAATGATCCAAACTCTTTTTCCTTTCCACAGTTGTGATGTCAGGCGTATTGTGTTCCAAAACTTTGTTAGTTTGGATTCGAAAGTCCCACAATATTTTTGCGTGTTCATTTTCCACTATCTTTGCAGGTTTATGATCCCACCAGTTTTTTTACTACTGGCAGGTGGTACTTGTGACAAGTTCCAATGAATCATTTGGGCCACAGAGTTGTGCCTCTGTTTGTAGTCCGTATGTGCGATTTTCTTGCAGCAGCTGAGGATATGATCAATGGTTTCATCAGCTTCCTTGCACAGTCTGCATTTTGGTTCATCAGCTGATTTTTCAATCCTGGCCTTAATTGCATTTGTTCTGATGGCTTGCTCCTGGGCTGCAAGAATCAGGCCTTCTGTCTCCATCTTCAGTGTTTCATTCGTGAGCCATAACCAGGTCTTCTTGTCAACTTTTCCTTCTATTTTGCCAAGGAACTGCCCATGCAATGCTTTGTTATGCCAGCTGTCAGATTTGGTTTGTTGTGCAGTTTTCTTGTATTATTATTATTATTATTATTATTATTATTATTATTATTATTATTATTTATAGTCCGCTTTATCTTTCTAAAAATACACAATAAAACCAGTACAATATAACTTAAAACCTAAAAATATATAAACACTGAAACATAATTAAACATTAAAAGTATAAACATTAAGAGTTAAAACCTTTACAGAATTGAAGCACAATCCACCATACGACTCTCTCTCATAGCACATTAATGTTTATTAAATGGCTTGGATTTTTTTGGAACAGATTTGGCTAATACTAGCATAATCTCTACTAAACTGTTGGGAAACAGAATAAAAATTTTATTAGCTGTATTATCAAATAGACTCATCATTTAACTTCTTTACCTCTCTAGGTTCAATGTACTTCATCAGACTGGAAGGTTTTCCACATTGCTTAAAACCTATTAATCCTTTATAGTAGTCAAACACTGCCATATCCTGAGCAAAAGAGAAAAACAAAGATAAGTTATTTAGCAAATGGGTACTGTTCCATTATTTGGGCAGAGGCCACTTCTCACTAGAAAGAGAAGGACTATCCCATTTATGGGGTGGAACTGAAGGAGGAAAACCATTTCCCCCATTTTGCTGGCTATGCCCCCCCCCCCCCCCCCCCCCCCCCCCCCCGGTTTCCCATATCATAAAGGAGAGTTGTTTCCACGACAGGGAAATTGGGTGGGGAAAACAGGAGGAAATAGTTTTCCTACTTCAACCCACCCTCCACCCCCATGAATGGGACAATCCCTCTCTCTAGTGCCCCTTGTGGTCTCTGCTCAGATAATGGAACAATACCTAAATATGTTATTTCTGATATATTAGAAGTAGGGACAGGGGGGCGGTAACACAATGCTCAAATTTGGACCAAGAGCAATCTGTTAAAGACATTTATGCAATATATGAAGGAAACCGTGAGCACTGAAGAAGATTGTAATGTGTGTTTGGGAATAATTAAAAAAAACATGCACAAGGGCAAACACACCTGATCATGAATAGCAAAATGCTCCCCTCACTCCTACAGCCCATTCAGATTAAAGTTGTATGTAAAGGCAGTTCAGTTTTGACTGCAATCCATGTAGGCAAGTAGAAAATAACTATATTATTGCTTGGTGGGGGAAAGCCTACATTCTGTATCACCCACCATTTATCACAACCATCCATTGTCTTTGCCAATTTCTTTTTAGTGTATAGATGGACTGGAGCAACATGGGGAAAGTCAGGTATGTAAATGGGCTTGCTCTTTCACACCAAACCCTGCTTTTCGCCATTACTAAGTGAAGAACTCATATATTCCCAAGAAACCAGAAGCTTCCCAGAAGCACAATTCAAAACTTACTAGTCAACTCCATTGAAGTTTTTGCATTCTCAGTTTCAATTACCTATGTTACAGCAAAGCCCATGTATTTTGCACTTTCATAGCAGCCTTTATTAACAGCTTGGTTGCCACAGGAAGTAGCACAGAGGTTACCCAGCACTGCTTTCTCTACATCATCAGGAATTTACAAAATTAAGTATCAGTAATATTACGCTAGAGAGTGTATATTTAGAAAGAGAATTTTTGACTTACCTGCCATCTTTTCCAGGCTTTCTGAATGACAGATGCTGCATGACTCTCCTTGGAACTATCAGGAAATTGTACAGAAGAACCTGAATCATTTAACGATTTTGCATGTTTCCTTCAAATAATATATTTTGGAAATATCAGTTGCACCTATCACCAAATAATTGGTCCAAATGCAATTGATAATCTAAACTAGAATAGATCCACTGAAGTAATTGGGTTTATCTAGTATTTTCCTATTCAGCAATTGAGTTAATGATGGGTAATATAGTGTGATGCAAGAATAGGGAATAATAATTGGATTTAGACCATTGTCCTTACAATCTTTTTGTAGTTTTGCTCCTTTTACATTTTACAAGATAATTTAAGATGGATGGATGTTAGGGAAATCTTTTTTATTATTATGGTATTTCATAATCTTTGTGGGGATAATCTTAGCAGCCACTAATGAAAGGACCAAGGCAGTGACATCTCTGGCCCATCTGTTCAAATATCAGCCAGCATGCCAATGCCTTAAATCAAGAAACAGCTTTCTAAAATATACAGAGATACTCGCATCTCAGCAAGCAAGAGTCCAAAAGTGGCAGGCTAAAGTCCAGAACCTCAATCCATGGCTTCTGGCATAATAGATAAAACAAAGTGGGGAATGAAAAACATTGCAATAAAGACTGGTCTATATATAGTGTAGGCAGAAAACCAAATAATTTTAAGAAATAAAAAATATAAGAAGAAATATATAATAACATTGAAGAAAGACCCTCAAAAGACATTTGCTCCATGGTACTTAGTAATCATAATGTTCATTGGGTTTCAGCTGTTTACTACTGAGATATTGCTGAATTAATCAGATTTATAGACTCGATTTTCTCCCAAAGACTCAAGGCGACTATCCACATTAAAATCAAATAAAACAAATACAATGCAAAAAAGACTTAAAACATAAGCAAAATAAAAACCCTACCAAAAACATATACCCAATTTAAAGCCCTTCCATTTAAATACTTGGAAATCAAGAGAGCCAGCATAGTGTAGTGGTTTGAACATCAGTATAAGGCTCCAGGAGGCCAGGGTTCAAATCATAGAATCACTGATTTGGAAGAGATCTCATGGGCCATCCAGTCTAACTCCCTGCTAAGAAACAGGGAAATTGCATTCAAAGCACCCCCAACAGATGGCCATCCAGCCTCTGTTATCGAAAGCTTTCATGGCCAGAATCACTGGGTTGCTATGAGTTTTCCAGGCTGTATGGCCATGTTCCAGAAGCATTCTCTCCTGATGTTTTACCCAATCTATGGCAGGCATCCTCAGAGGTTGAGGGCTCTGCTGGAAACTAGGCAAGTGAGATTTATATATATGTAGAATATCCAGAGTGGAAGAAAGAGCTCTTGTCTGTGGGAGGCAAGTGTGAATGTTGCAAATGGCCACCTTGATTGGCATTTAATGGCTTTCAAAGCCTGGCTGCCTGCTTCCTGCTACCTGGGGTATCCTTTGTTGGGAGGTATTAGCTAGCCCTGATTAATTTGTGTTAGGGAATTCCCCTGCTTTTTTAAAGTTGCTCTTTTTTTAACGGTGCTGATTTTAGAGTTTTTTAAAAATACTGGTAGCCAGATTTTGTTCACAGCAACCCAGTGATTCCAGTCATAATATCCTTCGACAACACATCAAATTATATACTTCATTACCTGGGAGTGAAATGTATTAATCACAGCGGAGTTTGCCTCAGAGAAAACACACATAATCATAATGTTCATATTTTATATATAATGTGTCTTTGAATCTTTCAGTTACACCCTTACCCAGATTTCTGTGAGCTTTCGGTGGGTTCAGGGTCCATTGCAGAAATACACTGGATTTATTATAAAGAACCAATGATGTGGAGTATTGTGTCTGTTCAAAACCTATAAAAGAATTTGTTTATTTAATTTCATTTATTTAAAAATGTACCTAAATTACATATGATAAATGAAGCATAAAAGATATAAAATTAGTCATTTTCTATACAGTACTGATTTGGATTCCTATAAGCATATGCCTATGTATATACGTCCTATGAGCGCATATATATACATTGGCACGGGGTGTGGCATAATGTAAAATAAACCACATGTAGTTCACATTTGATCAGCCCACACACTGCCTTGCCAGAGAAAGAAAATATGCCACATAGGTGATAGAATCACAGAATCAAAGAGTTGGAAGAGACCTCATGGGCCATCCAGTCCAACCCCCTGCCAAGAAGCAGGAATATTGCATTCAAATCACCCCTGACAAATGGCCATCCAGCCTCTGCTTAAAAGCTTCCAAAGAAGGAGCCTCCACCACACTCCAGGGCAAAGAGTTCCACTGCTAAACGGCTCTCACAGTCAGGAAGTTCTTCCTAATGTTTAGATGGAATCTCCTTTCTTATAGTTTGAAGCCATTGTGCTGTCCTAGTCTCCAGGAAGCAGAAAACAAGCTTGCTCCCTCCTCCCTGTGACTTCCTCTCACATATTTATACATGGCTATCTATCTCCTCTCAGCCTTCTCTTCTTCAGGCTAAACATGCCCAGCTTTAAGCCGCTCCTCATAGGGCTTGTTCTCCAGACCCTTGAATCATTTTAGTCGCCCTCCTCTGGACACATATTCCAGCTTGTCCAATCTCCCTTCAATTGTGGTGCCCAGAATTGGACACAGTATTCCAGGTGTGGTCTGACCAAGTCAGAATAGAGGGTAGCATTACTTCCTTAGATCTAGACACTATGCTCCTATTGATGCAAGTAGTTTACTCTTCGTAATTCAGAACAACCTATTTACAATCATGTATCAGTTGCATCAACTCTCATAATGTCCTTTAAGAGAGATTTAAAATGGTCTTTCTTTGTCCCTGTGGAGAAACTCCTTCCAGCAGCTTATGAAGCAAGAATACACTCCAAATTGTGTGTGTCTTTCTAATTCTCTCCAAGCACCTGCACAGCTCAAACCTGAATAAAAATGTAATAGTATCCAAAACTTCCAAGCTCAGCCAGCTCCCCAGGTGTAGCCCAATCAATCAATTTTGTGCATTTTATTTTACAGTTGACACACATACAAACTGATTTTTTACATGCTCCAACACGGGGGGAGGAATGCTTTTTTAAAGTTATTTTTAAATATTTCAACAAATATTCTGCCCAAATTCTTCAATGTTTTTAATAAACTTTCCCCCTAATTTAATTTGAGAACTGTTTGAAGGTAGAATATGAAAAGAACCAAACAGCTATTTGTTATCTGCAAAAAGAGATGGGCTGAGAGATATGTTGCTAATTTACGTCTCAAATTATTACAGATGTAAACGAAAAAACAGGATGCAATACAGAATGTAGTACAGCAAGATACATATTAGATTATGTCATAGTATAAGTCATAGTATAATTTAATACATTCTAAGAGTGGCTGCCCTAATTAAGTGAACTTTCCAGATTACTTGGTGCCAACAATTCAGATCATCAAATCCCATGCTAAACTATTTAGGCTGGTTACCAGATCATTTCAAGGATTTATGTTCTGAACCAATGTTCTGAATGTGAAGGCCTCGGGCAGTTGCTACTATATCTTAAATAAATACTGTCACCTACATAATGAAGACTTTTCCAAACTGCAAAGATAAATTTTACAGGTGCCACTATGGTTTTGTTTGTTTGTTTGTTTGTTATTCCCAGGGATAAATACAAAGGATGGGATCTTTTCTATTATGATACAAAACTTCCACATTTTCCTGAGACAGTCCACCCAGATATCACCTTTATTGACTTTCAAGCAGGTGATGTGGACCTTTGGTCATTTTTACTGATATAACCTGTTCTGTCATACTTATATTACTGTTTTATATCTCAGATGCATGTACTATTATTTACTTATTTTACTTTATTTACTTATACCCTGCTCTTTTCTTAAATGAAGCACAAAACATGAATCCCATTTAAGAAAGGAGCAGTATATAAATAAATAATAACAATTTTTCTCAGCTACTCTGATTGAGCTTTCTCTGTATTTTTCTGCTGGTGGCTGCACTGAAGGTTTGTTTCAGAAGTTTGAGGCAGATTAAAATCCTGCTAAATTTTGCAAAAGGTAGATTTGTGTGCAAAATGTCAGTTGCATGGAAAATGTTTCAAACAAAACAAAACAAAAAAAACCCCACAAAAATGTGTGCCAAAAATGTATAAGGCTCTAATACAGAGCTTTCCAAATGGTGTGTTGGGACACACTAGTGTGTTGCCTGTAGTATACAGGTGTGTTCCCACCGGAAGAAACACAAAGGGCATCCAGCCCAACCTCCTTCAGCCAGGAAGGAAAAGTATCAAAGCCCTCCCAACAGACAGCCATCCAGCTTCGGTTCAACAACTTCCAGAGGTGGAGACTCCACTGGACTCCCAGGTGGTCTACACTTCACCAGAGTTGAAAGAGACCCTCAAAGGGCATCTAGTCCAATCCCCTTCAGCCAGACAGGTATGCACAAAGCAGCCCTGTGAAGGCCATACTGCCTCTGTTTAAAAAGAATCACTATAGAAATTAAATACTGGTGCTCTTCAAATGTAGATACTACTATAACCTTTATAATTTGCACAATTTGTTGATTGAGGTGCAACAATTACCACTAAATGGATGTTTCTAATTAAGAAAAGAAAATCTGTTGACGTTTGTGATGAACCACTTGGAGAGTCCATGGAGGAAACTATACAAGAATCAACTGTAGCAGATACATTTCCAAACCTCGTTTATATATTATGTAAAAATCATGTGAAATTTATATATAAAACGTGTCATAGATCATTCACACACACACATATACACATACACATATACATATTGTATGAAACTCTTATAAGGGGTTGGTTTAACCTCTGGCTTGCTAGTAAAACTGAATTACCATGTCGCGAAAGGATGCATGTCTAAAAAGCATATCACCAACATTAAAAGTTTGGAAAGCTCTGCTCTTAACAATGCATTCAGGAATTGTTTTCTTTTTGCATTTTAAAAATAAATTTATGCATATATAAAATTTTATATTTTTTTAAAAAACTAGACAAAACAATACACCCTCAAGAGTTTATAACATTTTCTTCAACCCCCACTCATGCACCCTATAATTCTGGAATTATTATTCTTTTTATACAATTTTAGTGGGTTGTTGTAGGTTTTTTTGGGATATATGGCCATGGTCTCATGTTGTAGTTTTTTTTTTGGCTATAGACCATGGCCATATAGCCCGAAAAAACCTACAACAACCCAGTGATTCCGACCATAAAAGCCTTTGACAATACATTTATACAATTTTAAGCTATTTTTGTCCTAACTTGCTTTTAATTACTATATTTCAAAATTAATATCAAGTCAATAGAGTTTTGTAGCATGGTATAGTATTACACTGCCATATAATTCAGATTATCAAAGCAGATAATCCACATTATCTGCTTTCAAATGGATTGTATGAGGCTACACTGCCATATAATCCAGTTCAAAGCAGATAATCTGGATTTTATAGAAGAGGGCTTACTTCTTAAAGCAGCCATGGGCAAACTTCGTTCCTCCTATCGGCTGTTAGGAATGATGGGAGTTGAAGTCCAAAACACCTGGAGGGCCGAAGTTTGCCTATGCCTGTGTTAAAGCATGTATACCTTAAAAGAGAGGGTTCCCCAGTTTTGAGTGACTATCAATACAAGGTGCCCCCCCCCCCCTCCAAAAACACATACAGGTAATATTAGCAATGGAGATTAATTGAAGGCCAAATGCAGTCAATCTCTGTCTAAAGGAGTAAAGAGTCAAAGCCCTTAAATAAGCCACTGAATAACTTCAGAAGGGGTTGCACACTTCTCCCAAATTTCTGAGGGGGTTAATAGCTCCCTCCATAGCCTTTTCCCCACCCTAATGAGGCCCCAAATGAGCCCCCGGCTTCTCCTCGCTCCTCTGCTTTTACCTGTCTTCTCTACTAAGGAGGCAGGCTCTCCTTAGGCAGTGTGTGGTGGTTGCCAAGGCAACATGAAGGAAGCTGTGGCCTAGATTCTCACCCAAGGTGGCCTGCTTCTTCTGAATACATACAAAGGATGCTTCTATCAGGCCTTTGACAATTTGGGTCCTCCAGGTGTTTTGGACTTCAACTCCCACAATTTCTAACAGCTGCGAAGTTTAGTGAAACGCTGGGATATCTCATCATGGGATATGTTTTATGGAAACCTTACACACATCATTTTTACAGACAATGTTTGTGACCGTTTTTGTACCTGAAACAAAGTTTGTGTGCATTAAAGTACCAGAAAGCAAAGGGGTGTAGAAGGAAGGGAGGGAGGGAGGAAATAAAGGAGACAGGGAGAAGGATGTAAGGAAGGAAGTATGAAAAAAGAGGAAGGAGAGGAAGGAAGAGGAAAAGGAGAGGAAGGAGAGGAGGAGAGGAAGGAAGGAAGGGAGAAGGAAGGAAGGAAGGAAGGAAGGAGGGAAGGGAAGGAGAGGAAGAAGAAGGAAGGAAGGAAGGAAGGAAGGAAGGAAGGAAGGAAGAGGGAGGAGGAAAGGAGGGGGGAGGGAAAGGGAAGGAAGGAAGAATGAATGGAAAAAAGGAAAAGGAAGGAAGGAAAGAGAGGGAGAAGGAGGTTCAGATGGAAGGGAGAAGGATGGCTGTATGAGAAAGAAGGAGAGGGAGAAAGATGGATTTATGGAAGGAAGAATGGAAAAGAGGATGGAAGGAGAGGAAGGAAGGAAGGAAGGAGGAAGGAAGGAAGGAAGGAAGGAAGGAAGGAAGGAAGGGGAGAGGGCCAAGATTTGTGCAAGCCCAAAAATTCTAGGAGGCCCAGGAATTGAGTGCGATGCTCTCGCAGACAACAACAATATTAGTTACGGGTCTGTGGCTGTTCATTCCGGGGCCGATTCGAGGAAAGAATCTGGGTA